TGTATTCTACATGGATTTTGTGAATGATCTGAGCAGGGTTGGCAGAACAGACTGCTGCCTTTTCCACCCATGGCACTGAGGCAGAAAAAGTCAGCATACCAAATAAGAAACCACACAGGACTACTAGGTACCATTAAATTTAGCAAATTGCTGACAGTTTTCAGGTCATATTATCATCTTGGGATGTAGGTAGAATTTAGACATCTTGATTCTATTGAAAGCGCTTAAATCTTTATTTAAGTTTTGCTCCAAATTCTTCCTTTGAGGAAATTTGAGGTCTGCACAATTTCTAGACATGGAATGAGGACTCAAGAAGCCAGTGAACTTTTGGACACATTCTAAGGAGAAGTATAAGTAATACATACTTGGAGTATGGCAACACAGGGAGGGAGAGAGGGCTGATCTTTCTGTATAAAAATCTCAGGATCAACAAGAAGGCACATTTTGCATTTTTCTATTTGCATAAAAATTCTAAATTCTCATCAATTTAATGGAAGCCTGGAATACTCGTGAATTGTTGGCCAAGATACAGACTGGAAAAGTTCCCAAAAAAGTGTTTCATTACTGGTGTGGGTGTGGAGAAAGTGTTATAATTCTTCAACTGTATCTGAGTAGTTATGTTTCTTTATCACTTTCTAAGCCAAAGAACTATTTTTAAATTGAATTAAAAATTGCTACTTATGCAGTTATCCTGTGGATACTCTCCAAAACAGCATTTCTGTAGCTATCTTGGGTCAGAACAGCATGATGAATCAGCATGAAAACAACACCACTTCAAATATAATCAATTCCCTTTATTTGTTCATTCGCTACTAAAATAAGGTTTGTATCCATCCCTCATTATTCACTCCTAATGTTTTCTCACTCTTAATTGTAAAGAATGTAAAGGAACTGTGATGTGATATAATCTATTTAATTCAGAACCAAAGAAGTGGAGCCTTAAGAGCAACAAAGAGAAAAAAAATCCAAACACACTAATAGGAAATTCTTAAAGAAGACTACTGTTCAATTATCCTGCAAAAGTCTCTGTATCTCCTACCTTTCTACAGAGCTAATACTCATATCACGGATGGAAAGAATAACAAAGGAAATCATTGACTATCAATTTTTCTTGCTGTTTAATCCTTAAATTACTTTTATAATCCATTATAAATCCATTAGATTACAAAATTTGAAAAGGCAGAAATACTCTTGTCTCTCTTGTTTTATCTGTTTTTTATTTTCTCTAGTTTTATTCTGGTAGACCTGCCTGTAAGCAGATAGCCCTTTTCCAAAGTGGGGGCATAAATATGATAGGGATGCCTAAAAATTATGTTCCTCTCAGGTCACTCTGATAAAGATCTGTGAAGGATTTTATGTCATGAAACAAAAGATATGATCTGAAAAAAAGCATAATAGTCCAAATCTTGGTAACTTCAAGGACATATTCTCATGATCTCTGCAAATTTAGATCTTTGTGGATAATCAAACGACCTTTCCAACCTAGCTGCTTCCTTGTGCACCCCATGCAAAGTTAGATATCCCCATCATAGCACACTAATATCTTCTTTGCACCCTTATTTACCTAACTTAGAATAGAAGCAACTTAAAAAGTATGAGAGGTGCTTGGTGTGTCTAACTAAGAAAAAAAATACAAGGTTTTCCAACAAAATGAAACCAGCCCATTTGTATACCCCATGCTCAAATGCTTCTTTCAGAAGCTGATATACTCATCTAAAAAACACATCCACCACTAAGGGCTGTGCAGCAAAATCTCTCTGTGAGCAATAGGCTTGCCAGCTGCTGGCATTTCAGGGCTCTCAGTGTCATAAGCTGAGTAGCACATATTTGTGCAAGAGAAACAAATAAAAAAGCCTTTTCAATTCACTCATTTTATCCTTCTTGGTAGCTCCTCAAAGCCTCTGTTTTACTAACTTACTTGTTTGTTTAATAAAAGGTATTATTTTTCTTTCTAAACCCTGCCTAACAGTTTGTAACAAATTTGGTTGACATTAATTCAGTAGTAATATTCTTTCAACTATTAACCTGATTCTCATATCTGCTTCAGGAAGAGCCTAGAGATTTAAAAAATTTTAAAAGAGTCAGTTTATTTGTTGGCTCTGCACCTCTTGCAATAACCTCATCTTTTAGTCCAGGAAAGATGTTACTGGATCACAACAAAGGTTTCCTATAGTGCCCTAAAGAACCAGGTGACAGTGCAATTCCTAATTATGTTTCAAAAATGTTTCTTTTTCCTGTCTTAACCCTTCTTCCTAAACAAATGTCTCCCATGTAGCCTCAGGATCTTCAAGATTTAAGTACATCTAAATGCCTCTGAGCATAGTGGCCAGCTTGAAGGATAGTGAATTTCACTCACTTTCTCTGCTTCTGGAATTTCTGATTGAAATTTCCTGGTCCTGTATTTGTATTAGTTGCCCTGAGATAGTAAGACTAGTAAGGGAATTTTCTCCTACATAACAGAAAACACAGAAGTGTTTTCACCAAAGCCTTGGAAAAATGGACCTTGTGAAAGTCTGTCCCTCTAATGCACTGTATACATTGTGACCTGCAGATCCTGTACCACAAACAAACTTCAACTTGGAGGTATGTGTTTTCAAAGATAAATTTTCCTCAGTAATCATTCAAGGATTTCCTAACTAAGTACATGTAAGAACAACTGCTGATATGACAGCATAATTACCATCAATGTTAAACTGGCAACATTTCATCATTCACATTTGATTTTCATAATGCCTCCCTGGTTTGAATATTTTGTACATATGCACAATTCAAAGATTTCTTAATATCCAAAACTAATCTTTGGCCTGGCTTAGCAGTGTTACAGCAGTATAAGATTAATTGTTTTTAAATAGGATTAAAAATAATGGAGTTTTTTTAATTCTTTATTGCCGAGTAGTTGAGACATTTTGTTAATGAATTGCTGCCTTGTCTCCTTTTATTTATGATACCTACTATCTCAACTACATAATGGATTTGGGTGACAGAGGTTAAGCATCATAAGTCACAGAATTTTAATTTCAGATAGGTAGTAGACAACAGTATAATGAATTATAAAGAGATGGTGTTCAATAAACATTCAGCGAAAGAAGTAAGAACACAAAGACAAGAGAATAATTCTAGTTTAAATCAGCACTAGGTGGTGAAAAGCTGTCATTTACAAGAGGTTATATTCTTTCTCAATACAGAGATATATCTCTTGTTAGTATTTTAGGGGGAGAGGGGAGTGGAGGGAGAACTGAGAGAAGACAAGAAGAGATGAAGTCACCAGTGTGACCAGTTCAGTCAAGGCCCCTGTTCAGTACACAGCAGTGACCTCAAATGTTAAACTAAGAAAACAGTGAAAGCTCAGTGCTACAGTGTGAATCATCACACATCCTTAAGAAAGCTTAATTATGTCAACCTGTTTCCAAAAGGTTAGTAGAAATGGAGATGGAGAGCTCAGAGGTGGACATAAGAACAAAGAATATAAATACTTCATGGGGAGAGAGTGTAAAAATGAAATCACCCGTCTTACAAGGAGTATAGAAAAGCAGAGAATAGCATTGGAAAGGTAGATAAGCCTGTTCATATTCCCTTGCAATACAGGAATTAAGTTAAAAAATTAACTTACATAAGTTAAAATTAAGCAAATGTCAACGTTACAGCAATAAAATAAAATAAAAAAAACACAAAAACCCAACAAAAACGTAAATGGTTTGATACTGTCAAAGTCTGTATGTGGATTTCATTGCTACAAGATGCTTTGCAGCATTCAGATAACTGCTGGCCAATAAAGAAGTCACAAAATAAAGAGTCCTGGAGCAGAGGACGCTTGTACAGAAATTAAAGTTCTGAAATTAATACAAACTGTGATGCTCCCTGGTACAAAACAACCTCCATTTACTACAGGAATCTCTTTTGAAAGACTGTTGCTTTGCAGAAATCTAATGCAGAGCTTTTCTTAAAACTTTCTTTTCTTAAACAGCAAGGATGCTGTTAGATATCAAAGTTGGTAAACTACTTCTAAAATCTAGTTACAAAGTTTTTCCATTTCAGCCAATTGTGTGGAGTTGTAATGAAAAGTTACCTTCTAGCTGTTCAAATTCTTGGCATAGAATTTGAATTTGGCTGTGGAAAAGGGAAGCTACAGGCTGCAACTTATTTTAGAATAGAACCTGCATGGTATAGAGGAATCTGTCAGCCTTCCTCTGAACGTGGGCTCTTTGGTATGGTTTTTACACCAGAACTGAACACCTAAGATATTCTTCTGCAGTGTGTAAACACCTCCTTGTTGCTCCAGTGACTGTATCTTTTGGAAGAAGCTAAATGTCAACGAGCATAACTTATTTTTTAAGACAGCAAGTGAAAAATTTTAAAAAGCAAACGTTTGAAAGCAATTTTTCCTTCAAACAAAACATTATTTGTGAAAAATTAAATTGAGCTATTCTGGGACTGTCCCAGAATAACAATAAAACCTTAGTAAGCTATAATTACTGCACCTTCTCTGATCTGGTAAAACTCCACTAAGCCCAGAGAGGTTGCACTGTCACCAGCTTCAAAAGAATCAGCTCCAATCTACCTGTGGAATAAAGCAGTTTAAAGACATACGTTCCAAATTTTAAAGCAGCTGAAAATGCCCTATCACTTGCATAAAGCCATGGTAAACGTTGACAGCTTAGGTCCGGTGTTGCTTTGACACCTTGGCTCCCGAGCGACAGCAAAGAAGTTACCCAGAGGGATAACCAGGCACCTGGGCTGGCATACGGGCGGCAGCTCACCCTGCTCCGGCGGGCTCCTTCGAACAGAGAGGCTGCGGGCTGGCACTCGCCTCGCTCCCTGCTCTGAGCACGGCTCATTTCCGAGGGACCCGGAGGAGGAGGCAGGAGACCGCTGGTGGGACCGCTCGCTGCGGCTCCCCCGCGCCGGGGCTGCGGCGGCCGGGGCTGCGGGCAGCGGCGCGGGGCCGGTCCCCCGGAGCGGCGGGAGGCCAGGGCAAGCCTCGGGGCGCCGGGCTCTCTCACCTGTCGATACTTATCACACAGAGGGTCATGATGGAGGCCGTGCAGCACATGACATCCATGGCGATGAAGACGTTGCAGAAGAGGCGCCCGAAGATCCACTCGCCTCCGATAAGGTCGGTGACGCTGACGAAGGGCATGACGGCCAGGGCCACCGAGAGATCGGCCAGGGCCAGCGAGACGATGAGATAGTTGGAGGGCTGCCGCAGCTTCTTCACGAAGCAGACGGAGATCACCACCAGGCAGTTGCCGGCGATGGTCAGCAGGGTGATGAGGCAGAGCACGGCCCCGATGAGAACTTTCTCCGCGCTGCCGTAGCTGAGGATCTGCTCCCCGCACTGGGAGTCGTTGGCGGGTTGGGGGCTCGCCGTGGGCAGCGCCGACGGGGGGGGCGACGGGCCGAGCTTCGCCAGGCTGCGCGGGGGCCAGGAGCCGGCGATCATCCTGCCACCGCTCAGCGCCCGCGGCTCCTCCAGGACCAGGGCCCGGAGGTTACCGTAGAGGTGGCTGCCGTTGAGGGCGAGCACCATGGTGGCGTGAGCAGCCCATGAAGCCTCGCCGCCCGTTCTCCGGCGGTCCCCGGAGCCGGGATGCTCGGGCTCCTCCTCGGGCTCCTGGCGCCGCCCGCCCCCTCGCAGCCGGCCGATCGGCCCGTGGGGGCCCAGCCTTCAACTTCCCCCGGGGCAGCCGAGCTCGCCCACGGCGCATCCCGGGCGGCAGCGCGGTGGGCACGGCGCTACCGCCCCCCAGCCCGCGGGCAGAGGGGCGGGCGGGGGCGGCGGCCGTTCCCTCCCACCCGCGCCCACCGCCCGCTCCCACCCGCGGCTGCTTTCCGAAGGCGACAGGCGGTGGGATGGGAACCGCTCCGCCTCCCTCTCCTTCCTGTCCTCTGAGCTGCAGGTGGGGGTGCGCCCCTTCCCCGCAGTCCGGGGAGCCGCTTCCTCCTGAGGCTTCTCCTTCGCTGCCGCCCCAAGCGAGGGTCGCTCTGGGAACCCCCTGTAAATGTGTATATGTGCACATGTGTGTATGTGTGTACCCAGGTCTCACCCGGGAAGCTGCGGGCGGGTGGCCGCGGCTGGCGCAGAGGCGACCACAGGCGGAGCTGCCCCGGCCGGAGCGGGGCACGAACCTGTCTCTCGGTTTGCCGGCTCCGGCACAGCCCTGAGGCACGTCCGTGCAGAAGGATTCGGGCCGGCAGGACCCCGGCTGTGCTTGGAGAGTTGATAGTGGCCGCTTTTTGAAGATCTATCTTCAACAACATGGCCAGCACTGAAGCACTTCTCTGTGTATAGCCTGAAGATTCTTCTTCATATTAAGTTGATGTGAATACCATCACCTATATTTTCTCATTTACTAATATTTTTATACCCTGATTTTGAATTTACTCAGTGTTCCATGTGTAATTCCTTCAGTTAAGCTAAAACCAGTAATAAACCCATTGCTTGAATTACCTGCTTTTCTTGTGGGTTCCCTGGACTCTTAGATACAAACCAACTTCTGGAACTCCCTAGCATTCTCAATTCTCTAAGTCCTATTCTTGCCTCCAAGTGAGGTGAAAACTAACTGTTTGAATTGTGAATTATCCATGGGATGCCAGCAGAAGATCACTCCCCTTGGTATAGTAACATGCCAGACAGATATGACTGAAAACAAGAAATACCTTCTCCTGAGTGTCCCTCACATTTTCAGCATGAGACAGAAGCCAGATGAACCAGAGTAAGAGACGAAATGAAAAGAGTTGGTCCCAGATGTTTCAATAACCATGAGGTTTAAATGAGGGATGACCTTGCAACAACATAGCAAGTTTTATTTAAGTAGGCACAGGACAGGGAAGAACTGTTTGTATGGCTCAGTAGTAAGAAAGGCTGCAGGATGGTCGCACATTATACCAACTTAAAAATCTGTTTTGAAGACAAATCTAATAAGTATCCAGTTATTGGGGAAAAAAAAACCCCAAACCCTCAGCTAACAGACTTACGGACTAGTGAAACACAAATCCATAGCAACTGAGACTTCCATACTTGACTCACAGAATGTCTTGGTTTTGATGAAATCTTCCAGTCTGTCAGAATCTCCTGTTTTCTCCATCTTCTTCCTTTTGGAACATGCGCTTTCCAACATGCATGACTCTGCATTGGCCCATATGTACGTATGAGCATGTACAGGACTGAGAGGTTGGGCTCAGCTGTGCCTGACACAGATTGAGCACGGGCAGAGCCTCCTGTGGTCAGAAATGAAGGGTTTGGTAGTTCAGTTGCTGCCCCTCCCTACCACCCCCACATCTTGATTTGATTCAGATAATAAAATAATCAATGGTAAGCTTTTCCCATTCAGTCAGGTGTTTTCCTACACTTTGTTAGTTGCTTTATTGTGTCCAAACACAACAAAAGCAATAAAATCACAAAATAAAAATCCCTGTTTAACCACCCAAAATGTGTAAATGAGCCTTGAGCTTCAGGTGGGTTACCCCACCAGGTGATAAACCAAGTCTTTTGTCCTCCTCAGTTAAGCAAATATTAGGAAAAAAAGGGTCTTTAAAAATGGCAAGGACATATTTAGATATGTTAAAACATTAAGGCAAAATTTGGAGAGAGAATGTTTCCTTATTGGTTAAACATATTTTTTAAAAATACTGTCTGAAGTACTAAGCTAAGGAGTTAGGAACTTATTAAATTTTGTTCAAAATACATTCTTATCACAAAAGCTGATAAAGTTGTACAGTTTAATACTCCCAGTAAAAGCAATTTTTCAGTCACTTAAAATGTCACTAAGGCAGAGCAAATTATAATCTGGTGCTTCCTGCAAATGTGTTAACACAGTTCATTAAATCAGTCATTCTTCTTGACAGCTTTTTAATACACTTCTGGGATGTGACTCTCTAAATGTTCTCAGTGGATAATACACAGGATCATTTGTATGTACTCCTACCCATTCCAACCCAAAAGTAGGACTGAACATTGTCTTTTGTTCTGTATCTTGGCAAGACAAAGCAGCTGACACCTCTCTAAAATATGTTCCTTGAAAGCTTTTTACTAGGACACACCTAAAATAACTTCCAGTTTCTCAGGCTGGGCTGATTCTGGTGAGCTGATTTCCATGAGGGTTTAGAGGGTTTCACGTGGCCAGTGTCTGGAAAAGCATAGAGAATCAATCATTTCACGAGATGACATCTATTCTAGGTACTTAAAATAACAATACAATACATGAAAGTAGGACTTGATCTTTCCAAGAGTACATCCCACTTTTGTCTTCAGTGATCCTATTTAAAAATTCTAACATGTTGTTCCAGGCAGCATAGAGAAGTGAAACAAATGTCCAATTAGGTGTCAAGAGTAACAAGCTGACACTTGTTCTCTACCCAAGAAATTACTTTTTCACCTTCCACTAGGTTTAAAAAAATATCATCAAATCATTTTTCTGGCTGGGCTTAGTAAAATACTGTTCTTTGAGTAATTTATACTCTCTATGCATAAAAGCCTATTAATATTTCCATGTACCTCCAATTCTGTGCTGAGTCCTTTGTCCTCCATTCTTTCTGCACTTAGTGCCAATCACATAACATCTTCAGCACCTGTTATTCATACTAAGTGTATACTATACCAGTGGCTACCAATTTTTTGCCCCCATGTTAGTGAGATAAGGTAAGACAGGTCATTATGGCTAGCCAAGGAAATAGAGTTTCCCAAGCACATGCTGATTTAGTGAGGCCAGACTCTATCTATCAAAGTGTTTGTGTTGAAAAACCTTGCACTATATCCTGGATCCTTCATCCCTCCCTGGAGGACTTAATGCTTGCAGACAGCAGGTCTGTGCTAACTTGGAGGATCCTGACTGAAATGGGTCAAAGAATGCAGTGCAAGAGCTTCAGCAGCAGAGGAGAAAATGCTGACAGCCCAGCATGGTAACACCTTCCCTCACACAGCTGCCTCTAGAAAACAACAGCCCTGCCCATCTTAGCTTTAAAAGTTGAAGGCACTGCTACACTCCCCTTCTTAAACCATTCAGTATTGTATACACGGCAGGAGGGTAACATGAGTATGCAATGCAATAAACAAACAGATCAGAAATTTTTCTTGTTCCTTTGTTCTTTCTTATCATCCCCTTTTTTGTTCCTCCTTGCCTGAGAGAGCTTATCTCCTTGAACTGTTGTTTTCATTTGTCTGTTGTCTTCTTTTCTTTTCTTTTCTTTTCTCTTTTCTTTTCTTTTTTCTTTCTTATTAACCAGTATAAGATTGGTGAGGACCAGCTGTTGGGAACAATAAATACAGGTATATATTTCTTCTGCCTTGGGGAAATATGTTGTCAAAACATTTAGAATATTTTTATCAGAGACTGACTAGAGGTATTACTGAAACCTCGATTTTTATTCCCAGCATGTGCTGTTTAGCAAATAACACTCTTGTCTAACTACTAGCAAATATGTTGCAGCTGCACTTTTCTTTTCTGCCTTTTCTTGTCTTTGTGAAGATAAATCATCATCACTCTGTGGCAGTAAAACAGAGAGGTAACTAGTCCCATATTTGGCTTTTCTTACCATTGTCAAAATAAATACTTGCATCTGTGCAACTTAAATATGAAATTATGTCTTCCCTTTTTTGGAACCAGCAAATACTAACAACGGCAAGCTGGCATCTGAAAAGAAAATGAACAATTAAGATGACACATGCTTAAAACTCTGTATCACTCAAAATGAGAGCTCCCAACTCTGAAAACTCCATCTGTACCTTTACACAGGAGTTTATTGAGGTTATGAGGTTATGACAAAAGTGACTGTGCCATTCATGTTACTGAGTTGCTGAGGCAGATCGTAATAGATAAAATCTTAGCATCCTAAAAGTGAAAAATTCAGAACTAAAGCAAAAAATTAGCTGCCCATTGAAAACCTATTAGAAGAATTGTGACGGTTTCTGCATTAAAATTTAATGAAAGGACTGTCTTGAAGTCTAAGTGCATTGAGAAAGAAACACTTGGAGTGAGATCTGTTTTCACCAAGAACTTCAGGACAGCAATGAAACAAAGCATGTTAGAAGCTTGCAGCTTGACAGTGAGGACCATAAGGAAGTTCTAAGCAGACCACTGAGGATGGCATAAATAAAAGCAGTAATATCTAAATAATAACATAGGAAATAAGCCTGTGCACTGTTTTGAGTACATGACTCGTGATACCTAGAAGTGTTTTTTGTACTCAGATTCTTACATCATTACAGCAAATAGGGCTCTGCAGATCTTCTGCATGAAGATCTGGTTAAATGTCCTCCATTTTAAGTGCCTCAAAGAAAGGTTTCTTCTGCTTGTATATTGCCAAACATGCAGGCTGCTTAATCCTCTTTGGTATCTCTGAACACTGCTGCAGTAGGGCCATTCAGAAATAACTGATACATGCTTCTGGATTGCTTTTTACAGTCATTAAGACAAATCGAGTTACATCAAACACTGAGCCAAAGGAAACCTGGAATAATATCTCGGGCTGTTCCATTTTCACACACATTAAAGAAAAACCTTGGCAGTGCCATTCAGGCTGGGCTGCTTGTTCAAATGGCTGGCAGAGATCATCTGCTGATCTGATCTAACAGGCAAGCACCTTACATATGCAGATGGACTAAAACAGAACGTCTTTACTGAAATATCTTAACCTAATACAGTCAAGAAAAAGATGCTGCCATAGATGTGGCATGAACAAAGATGGTTTACCAGCTGGGGGTTTTCACCCCTTTCAGAGCGATGAGGTTTTTTCCTGCCATACAGATGTGGGAGCTGTTTTCTACTGACCCTCAAAGGTGCTTCAACTCTGAGCCCAGTGTCTGCAGCTTCTCTGCTACCACCATCCCAGCTATTTGTAACTCATCAGACAAGAAGTCCAGAAACACGGCAAGAAGGCACTGCTGTTTCTCAGCCATACTTTGTTAACCAAGTGATCTCGTTGGTAGAAATGAGTCCCAGGTCCCCACTGCTCCCGTGCACACAGCTGGCACAAGCTGCATCAGAGTCAGACCCTGTAAGGAGGGATGTTAAGGGTTTGGCAGAAGCCTTGGCCTTGATTAGAAGCATTTTTGCGTTATTAAGAATTCACGGCTCCAGATACTCCACAGACTTCCCCTGGTGAGCATTCAGCTCAATTTGAAGATAGAAAAAGCAAAGAACCCTCTCTCTGCTCTGGCCATCTCAAGTTGGACAGGAATTGCAGACCTGCTATCTTCAGCAGCTGCTCTAAGTCACAAAAAACCTCTCACTGAGAATTTCCATTTCTATTTTACATATTCTGTGCTATTTATCAGTGGTAGAACAATATCTGTACTTTTTGTGGCAGTGCTACACAGTGAACTTGTACCTGGTTTTTGGTCTATGACAATCGTCAGTCCTTTTCCGTGTCAAGGGATAACTTTGACGTGGCAGCTCGGAGCTTTGTAGGAAAGAGAGCAACCGTAAAACTTTAAATAGAAGAGATTGGTTTTGACTGTTACTGGCAACGTTCAGATGGAGCCGAAGCAGTTCAACAGGGAATAAACACGCCATCAGAGCAGGGCTACCGCTCCACCTGGTGGGCACCCGGCGGCTCAGAGGGGCGCGGCGAGCCTCGCCCGGCAGGCCCGGGGAATGTCCCTCAGAGCCCGGGGTGCGTGGCTGAGAATGAACCACGGAGGATCTCCTTCAGGGTCCCCGCCTGAGACCCGAGCGATCGCCCCACAGTCTCTCCCGGACCACAGCAGCCCCGTGGCGAGACACCCGCCTTGTGGAGGGTGCTGCGGCTGGTGCCGGCCCCTCACGGGCGGGACTACATGGCCCAGGCTGCCGCGGGCGAGAGGGGCGGTGCCGCCGCCGCGCGCGCTGCCGTGCCCGGGCTCGGCCGGCCCGCCGCGGCCTCAGCATGGCCGGCTTCGCCGACCTGAACCTGCCGCAAGGGCTGGACAAGAAGTCCCTGCAGAGCCTGCTGGAGGCCGCGGCTCACCGTGAGTCCCGCGAGCGGGGAGGTCTCGGTGGGGCCGGCCCGGAGCTCGGTGGGGCTGAGCTGGGGAGAGCGGACTGCCCCGGCCAGGAGAGCAGCGGAACGCAAGCGGCGGCTCCCCTGGCTCGGGAGGCACAGCCGGAGCCTGCGGGCTGGGGTGGGCCCAGCGGGACTCCAGGGGATGAGCCTTCCCTTCCCTCCGGGCAGGCCGACCCTCGCCACCCGGCCCGGCGCATTTCCCCCTCAGCCCGCAGCTTTTTGCGAGCCAGGTGCCCAGGGCTGAGCTGCCCAGCACTGGGTCGCAGGGGAAGCTCCTGATGCGCCTTGCAGCTCTGTCTCTGCTTGCTCATCGCAGCGTAATAGTTGGTTTTCTCCCAACTTGGACGAGTTTTTCCGCCTGCAGTTTCGTACGGCCCGGATCTTTTCCTGCAGGGCTGTTGTACAGCCACGTGCTGCCTGTCCAGTGTTCGGGGCGGGTGGTTTAAATACCCCTGGCAAGTGTATCATCTTCCTCAGAGCCCTTTGAAGGATACTTCTCCTCCGTTTAGTCGGCATCGTTTTGAATTGCTCGCTTTGTCTTTTCCCACAGCTGTGTCTCTACCAGCTGCGCGTTGTCTGCAGTTTAATAACTGTCCTGAATATACTTAGCAGTTTTCCATAAAGTCATAAACAGGGCCAGACCCTTGGGGACACTAAGCCCAAGTATTCGTGTTCATACAGCTCTGCCATTGAGTAAGAGTTGTCAGGCGTGGGCTGTCTTAAAAGCCGAACAGATTTTTTTTTTTTTGTCTATTTTAAAGCACTTTTTGGGTGAACTAGTCTTTTAAAAAAATACTGTGCAGTCTAGACATGCATGTGATTATTAACTGTAACACATTTAATGAGTATTTTACAGTTTTCTCATTGGATTTGTTTCCTTTTTGTTTACTGGACAAAATATTCTTAACTGTGTGTTTTTCAGTGGGATATTCTGCAGTTGCACTTAATCATGTCATCGACTTTAAAGAAAAGAAACAGGTAATTTTTGGGGGGATTATTTGTTCTTGCTGTGTTTTCTTTAGTAAACCTGCTGCTTTATTGCATGTTTCTGGATAGCTTTAGCTGCAGAATGCACATCTAGACACAAATACAAATCTCTCTATTTGTAACAAAACTCCCATTTTATGTTTCAGTAGAACTGCCCTGGGATTAATTTTTAATATGGTTTCTGTACTGTCCCACAAAAATAGTTTTCTTAGCATGGTAAATTTATTTTCAAGATTGGAACACACTTTTGTTTACATGTAAACCTACCCTGTGACATTTTTAATAACTTTGTTCTGGTCTCTTTCAAGGAAATCATCAAGCCAGTATCCCCTTCAGAGTTGTTTCCATCTTTACCTATTGTACAAGTATGTCTAGTTACATTCTATATATATATATATATTGTTATTCTGAGTTACCTTTTTTAACCTTTGTGTGTTTGGATATGTGATTTTGTGTATGAGGTGTTAATCAAAAAAGAGAAATTTGTGTATTATTTCATGGTTAAAACACAAAGCATTGGAAAAATTGTACACTCTCATCAGGGTAGGGTCCATTCATTATTTTAGAAATTATTTTAAAAATTGCTTTGTGTGAATTCTGAATCTGCTTGTAGTAGAATAATTACAGTACAATTCTTGAAACTGAAGTTGTTAAAATAACTTTGTGGTTTTGATGGAACAAAATTTGGATATGAAGAAGTACAAGACTGTGTTTCGGGTCACTGACATTGATTAATTCAAGAACTGCTTTTCCTTGCAGTTGTGGCCTGCCTGAGGAATCATAGCAGTAATAAAACATACTCAATTTTTCTGCATGATTCTTTTTCTTAATTTTTTTTCCCTTTCTATTCATCCTCCCCCAGAGAAACACAGTAAGTCATTCTATGTAAGGACAAGTATAATATCAAAGAGATAATGTAAATTAGGGAAGTGTAACTACAGACTTAGAAAATCAGTATAGCGAGACTATAAGAATGACACCATTTTCTTTTTATATCAGACTAGGGTGGAAATTACCACAAATTTTTGCTTCGGGTTTTTAGATTTTTTTTATATTATTCCTTTTTCTGTAGGGGACATCTAAAAAAATTAAAGTCTTGACCCGGTTAACACTTGTTGTTTCTGATCCTTCCCACTGTAATCTCTTGGTAAGTATACTCAGCAATCAATTTTGCAACTTCTATTTCCTTTTCTCAATGAATGAATGAAACTTTGGAAGTTCTATGGCCACAACATCCTGGAATTTATAGGGTACTCAGCAGGGATTTCTGAGATTGCATCTTTAATAAATAATGTGATCATGAGGAGATGCAGACTTACAAGATTGGATATGGCTTCTGTTGATCATTTTTCAGTATGGAGCAAGCCTCGTGTCTGGTTATGTTTTTATGCTACAAGATCAAAGCAAAAAGTATAAGTGTCTTAGTAAATGGGTGGGACAAGCCTCAAACTGAGAATGAATGACTTTACTCTAGAAACCTGCTGTGTTACTGGCTTTGTTTTAGTACTTGACAGGGACAAAGGATGTTTCTTCTCATTGTTTTGGTTGTAACCATTGTGCATAGCTTTGACATATGCCATAATTCAAGGTAGTAATTGTTTGCTCCTTTTATAGAGATCGACATCTGCAAATATAAGGTTATATGACATCATAGCAGTATTTCCAAAAACTGAGAAACTGTTCCATGTAAGTACAATCATCTCATCAGTAATGTTTATTCAGTAACCTTTAGGGCCTAATACTAATTTAATTACATGCTTTGTTTTGATTTTATTTCCCATTTTATAAAGACCTCATGGAATTAATCAAACATTATAGGCTGCCTGGTCAGTTGATAGGCTGAGGGGTTTGAGAGGATTTGAAGGAGCCTGCAAGACCCTGAGGTGACAGGTTAAAGTCTGAAACATCTACCTCATCCACCTGATGAATGAACTTCTACACACCTGCACTGTGGTTCCCTTTGTGTGCCTTGTACTCTAGTGAGGAGAAAAACATCCTTTTTTCCCCCCAATATATGTGCACTTTTCATGTAGAAAACTTCTGTTTTCAGCCTTAACTTCTCAAACTCTTGACAACTTCCCTAAAATGCACTTGTGATCTTCTGTTAGAATTATTCCTGGTCTCTAAAATGCTAGGGAGGATAAGTAAGAAGCTGTGGAAGAACATGAACTTTAAAGAATTTTTCAAGCATTAATTATAAGAGTTACAGCTAAATGAAACCAATTTCTGAATTTCATTTCCCTTGCAAGATTTTAGGACTCTTGGGGTTGTGACAGAGGCAAATGGTTTAAAATATTTTTTGAGGGCCACTCTCCACCTTTCTTTTGATCTCTGGCAATAGTATTAAATCTCACATCTCAGTTTATCATGTGTTAAAACTAGCATCTGAAACTAGGTAATCAGCAGGGGTGTGCTGTGAGGGTTTTTTGGGAAAAGGGTATTCTCTCACTTAAGTGTTATTATTGTTTATTTTCAGCCATATCATGACTCCTGCTGCAGTTGGACATCCAGCTGTGGCAGCGTTTAAACTGGCATAAGCAGACACTCGTTTCTGCAGGTCCCTGTCTTTGCTGCTGAAGCTGCTTGCTTGATTAGCTGCATGGCAGTTTGCTTTGAGGAGCCTGCTTTTGGCTGAGCAGTAACCGCAGTTTTTGCCAAGTTATTTTTCAGGCAGATCCACTTTCCCAGTGTGATTCAGCTCCCAGCCATGCAGAGTTGTGCTAGGGCAGAGCGAGTGGCTGTGCTCTGGCAGGCTGGTGCAGACAGTGCCTGGTTAAGCTGACACTGGCAGGTGATGGACAGGGTGTGAGGAAAGAAGCAGGATTGTTGGTGAGATTATCTTCATTGCTTCCATGCTGGTAGCACTTTGTGCTGGGGATGGAACCCAAGCATGTTTCTTGCAAACTGCATGAGGTGAAAGACTTCATCCTTCCATTTTTACATTTAGGGCAGGTTTGTATGGTTGTCTTTTGTTTAAAGATTTTAGAGTGTCTCACTTTGTGGAGAGCTGGTTCAGTTTCACAGAGGTATCACACAGGGAGTCTGGTGAAAGGGACATTACACAGGGGGTTTCAGCACATTCAGTTTAGCTCTTACAACTCATAGATATTTCAATATTAAGAATAAAGCTTTTAAGAGTGGGTCTTGCATGACAAATTAACTTCCTATTGGCTTTTGGTAATTCAACATTACCTCTAGAGCATCATCTTTCTCACCAGCAATTTGGCACTTGTATTTTCTCCATAGAACAAGATTTTTCATGTTTTTGTGAAAAAAATTACACCAATTTTAGCATGGCCCAAAACTAGTCTGTGCCCCTTTGTCAGAAGCCAGAGAAGCTCTTTTGTGAGTGAGTGTGGCAATGATATGTACTGAAAGATGTGCTCAACACTCAAATTCTTCAAATAATTTATATCCTTAAGGAGATGAGGAAGTCTTGTTTGCCAATTGTAGAACAGGCTCCTTGTTTAAGTCTCCCAAAAAGATTGTTTAGGCCTGCAACAGGAATGCCCACTCCATGCAGGTAATGGGGTCTGTACTTGCCACTTTTCAAAAATTTTGTTTTCTGAGATTTTTGACTGCTTTAATAATATTAGTTAGCTCTATCTGCTGTTCGTAAGCACTTAGCACATCACCAGTATCTAAAAAACTTACATATGTAAGTCTGAAGGTGTAATGCAAAGTCAAATTTCAATGTTTGTTCCTAAAACGTTTGCCAAAGCTTGCTTCAGAGCATCCAGACAGTGGCAGATGTATTTATTAATGGCTGGCTGGAGTTTCCCAGCAGATGGGGCTCTTGCCCACAGTGCTGCCAGACAGCTGCTGGGCTGTGCAACTTGCTGCTTGTCATTTTCTGGATGATGTTGTTGCACTTCAGATTTTTTCAGCAGGAAGGGTAACCTTAACTTGCCTGCATATCTTGTCTGACTTGTCTGGGAGCCAAAGCTAGGCTGAGCATTGGAGTTCTTGAAGAAATCTGCTCTCCAGTTTTCCATACAGTGCAGGAGTTCCTCATGGGGAAATATGACTTTGTTTTGTTTGCTTTTCCCTTGGTGGTATTTTATGAAATACTCATGTCACTGGAATCCTGTAGATATCCCAGCTTTTGAGTCACCCCTTCTCCCACTGTGCTTTATTTGCAAAATGGTAGAGTATTCCAGTGTTTCTGGAGCTGATTAGGAAGGCTTGATTTCTCATCACATAGGGCAAATTTCATGATGTCTGTTCTTGCTTTCCTTAATTTTTAGCATTATATCTTCCTGAATTTATTATGACCTCACTGACATATTTTCTAGGGCATGATTTGGAGCTATTTGTTCTGTGCATGTTCCCATAAATCACCTCTGTGTAGTAGTTTGTACCTCATGTAGGAAAATGAGGGAAATTGACTGTAGTAGGGCTGAACTTCCTCATGTAAGTCTAATTCTATGCCATGAATTCCACAGGCAGCCCATGTCCTGCCTAATGGAGGATAAAGGTAGGGCATGAAGGAAAAGTTTAGTCTGAATGTCCTGGCAGAGACATTTCAACTTCAAAATCTTTGTGGTTTGCCTGCACATGTACCATGGTGGTCTTGTCTAGGATAGAGTTGCTATCAACAGCTAAGAAGCATTCCTAAAGCTGGGCCTCTGCTCTCATCTCCATCCAAATTCCATGTGAACAAACTGGTAGAAGACCAGTTTGCCAAGCAGTAGTGTGCCTTGTGTTAGAGCAGCCCTTACCCCTGGGGCTTCTCACAGCCCCCACTGCTTTTGTGCTGGTGGGAGGAGGGATGAATGGTCGGCACCTGGCCCAGGTGTATTTACAGCAGCTGCTGGCAGGTTTCTGAGTGCAGAGAGTTCCCCTACACACAGAAAATTTCTTTCCAACTTCTTCAGCCTGTCTTACCTTCCTTGTTACAGCACTACTTACAGACATTAGTCTGGCCCTGTGTAATCATCCTTGCGGAGTAGGCATATATAATTCCTACCTTGGGTGCATGAGATTAATGTACATCAAGGACTCCCTTTTAGGTGCACTTAATTTTCTCTGTATCTCAGTGTGAGGACCCTCTGCCCCTTGTTCATCCCCTTCATCTCTTAATACAACCTGTAAATTGTGGTGTGAATTCAAAGCTGAGCTCTTAAACTGTAGCGTTGAGTGCTGTCTCCAGACTGCCAGAGGTGTGGCTGTCAGGAGGAGCTGCATGTTCTCCACCAGCCAGGAAAAGGGAGGCTCTGAGGATTGGTTTGCAGTATTGGGTGTGTAGCACCACCAGTCACAGTCACATTCTGCTTTTTTTTCATTCTTTTCTCTATTGCTTCTGGTAAAAGTAATTAATCCTGAAAACAGGTGCTGTGCTGGAAGCAGAGCATGATGGGACATGAGGCAGTTCCTGGGCTCTTCCCTTCGTAAAATGGGGTTGGCCTTTATAACCTGAGTTCTTTTGTCAAAAGCCAGCATTGCTTCTGCCTGTCCTCTGTCAGATGAAAACAAAGAAGTATTGGGGCTGACCATTATTTTATTGGAAAATTAGTTCTGTAAGAAAGGGAAGAGTTGGGTTTTAAGTCTCAAATGCTGCTGTTCTATTGGCATACTTGCAAGGCCTAGTACCTCTTAATTTTAAAACTGAGCTCACTTTGGAAAGACATTTTTTGCATTAAGAAATGAAGGAGAATATTAGTGGACCTTGAGTTGGTTATGCATTTTTTGGCACATCTAATAAAGTGTTCCTATTTCTTTGCTGTAGATTGCTTGCACGACACTAGATGTGGATCTGGTCTGCATAAATGTAACAGAAAAGCTGCCATTCTACTTCCGAAGGCCCCCTGTGAATATGGTAAATTTACATCTAAATTGTTTTCTTGCTGTTAGACTGACATTAAATACAGAATTTGAGTCAAATTCCCTACTGCTTTCCTCCCACCATTCCTATCCAAGTGGTTCTTTTATTTTCTTGCATAGTGTATAGTGTTGTTTCAAATGTCCTTCACTTCAGGGCCTCCACTGCAGCATTTAATACACAGTGATGTATGTTGTTTCTTTTTCTCCTCTGTCCCCCACTTAAGAAGGCAGAAGTGGTGTTCCCAAGGAGTGGAAACAGAGCCTTAAGGCCACTGTGCTGCTAAGCAGGGAGATAAGGTGTGATTGCTGACTAAGCTGCTTCCCAAACCAGGAATGGTACAGCTCTGTCAAAATGGATAAATAGCCCTTTGATTTAAAAGACAGGAAATGTGAATGGCAGTGTTCATTTGGGAGAAGGATGTTGTGCTGGTTACTTGAAGGACAACTGTATTGAATCTGTACTTGGACAGAAGAATGTCTTGGTAAATGAAGCAAATGTAGCATTGCTAAATATGTGCTGTGGGACCCAAAATGGCTATCAGTGTGGATCAAATATAGTTCTGCCTGCTGTTGGTAGTTTGCCAGAAAACTTAATCTGAACACTTTCTTAAGGGAACTGGTTTTCTCCTCTGAATATATGTAAAAGTTTGTTCCATGTGGGCACTCTTAGCTGATGTAGAACTTAGTACTCAAAAATTTGAATTTAGAATTGGCTAGTAATCCTACTTCCTTTTCTTAGAAAGTTTGACCTAGACTAAAAATTCAAAGTTATCTAGAATTAATTCTGAGATGGAATAAAAATAATACATTGGTGTTTATGATAAACCGAGTATTTCAACATTCCACGTGGAATAACAATTTTGTATGAAACACTGTAAGAAAGTACCCTAGCTGTCTAAAACTCCAGCAGCTGGCCCAAGTAACGAGCTGTGTGGCTCTTAGAGCTCTGTGTTGGGAGACATTTTCCTTCCAAGCTACTTCTCATCTTCACGCTCCCAGCTTCAAGACAGTCTGTCTGTTGGACTGGTCTGTGCGTCCTGGGGCAGTCAGCTTTGGTTGTTAAGATGCCAGACAGGCTGGCAGGCAGCTGAAGTGGTAGGGATGAGGTTAAAAATCACCTTGACTGGAAATGGGTGTATTGCCATTACCTGTTTGGTTTTGATAAATGCAGGCTTCTCTTGTTTGCAGCTATCAGGCCAGTTCTGTGTAAAACATTTGATGCATATATATAGCTTCTGTTGTGCTTGCATGCAGAGGTCATGCATGAGTGAGAGCTGGATTAATTCCAGCTGTATTCAGTTACTGGATTCTCGTACAGTCTCACCATTACAGCATATTTTAATAATATTTGTGTAAATGTAGAGTATCATTTCAGGCAAATGTAGGATTGCCACAGAACAAAGAGCTCCTGGCTTTACATTGTGTCTTTATCACTAGCACATGTGCAAGTTGCTTAACCTTTCTGTGTTTGCCAAAACAGGAATACTAGGCTTTTGGTGAGGCACTTTGACAGATAGCAAGGGATGTCAAAGCAGCTGAAAATATACTCAGTATTACTATTTGAAACCTCTTCTGTGACTCATTGTTATTTAACATTTTCACAAACCCCAGAGTGTGCTGTGAGACAGGAGAAGGAGGGTCTTCTTTGCTGCTTTTGTGCATGGAGGAATTCTTCATCTGCAATACATGGGTACTGGGGGAAGTGGTGATCTTTCTTACAGCAGGGTGTGGGTCTAGAGGAGTAGGGTCCTCAAAGTTTCAGGACAGCAGATAACCAGCAGTGGTTCTCTGTGTCCTCGACTCTGTTATCTTGTGTATATATCAGTGATAGCCAATCACAACAAATAAGTGGTTGCTATTTGTTAAACCTCATTTATCTGTCGTCCAAGATTTATGCGCATGTACCTGGTGTACAGTGAGGCCTTCCCCCACTCTCCTTTCTTGCTATGCTGTGCTCTTACTGGAACAATTCTGCCTTAATTTTTTCATATGTGACACAGTTAAACTGAGAATAAGCTGCAGCAATAATAGACAGCAGTTGTTAGATTGTTAGGCTTCTCTCCTTTTGATTTTTGATCATTCTCTTTCATGTGAAGGCAATAGATCGAGGCATTTACTTTGAACTTCTTTACACGCCTGCCATCAAAGACTCTACAATGAGAAGATACACGATTTCAAATGCCATCAGCCTGATGCAGATCTGCAAAGGAAAGGTAAGCTCTCAAAGTGAAAATAAGGTAATTAAATCAGTTCAAATTCTTTCTGGAGTTGTACAGTCTGAGCCATTTTAAATGAGTTTGATGTTGGGACATCTGAAGCAGTGACTAGATCTTGGCCTACTAATACAAGGACACAGTCATTCTAGCTCCAGATACTTCCAGTCATGCACCACTGCATGCTTTCTTCTTAAGCTGTCAAGCTGTTAGATTCTTTTCCCAAAACAACCCATGTGTTGTTATGGTATGCAGTTCCCAAAACAAAGGTGGGAGGGGATGGAAGGAGATTAAAGGGCCAGACATCTAAGGTTTGCACCAAACTGAAATTCATGTATGTCTTTAAAATCCTCCATTTCATATTTCTCATTGGCCAAAAACTCATTTGACTGTCTACTTTGAACGTGGGGACTAGAAAACAAGAAGAAAAGTAGAAACCATGTTTTGTTAGAAGGTTAGTAAATTCTGTGTCCAAAATAGACCCAACAGCTAGCTGGCTCTCAGCCAAGGCTTTGCTGCAGTCAGATGAACTGCATTCTTCCATGTTACTGAAACCCAAGGAAAAAGTAACTTAGAGATGCCTGTAACCCATTGCTTTCATAACTTACCTCCTCTCAGGCTACCAGGTTAAGCTGTCTGTTATACTGTGTCCTCTCAGGGCAGACTTTTTAATAGGGGCTCATATCAATACATATCAAAGTTAACAGAAATTGTAGCTCCCCCTTCTCTATTGTAAATGGCATCTGCCACATATAGCTAATCCAGAGAATCTGCATTTGGCATCTGAATGGTGACTGGATTTGGAAAATCTGAAGTGGGATGTAGAGCTTGGAAGGTAAATTAAAAGTAGATCCATCATTACCTCAGTTCTCCTCAAGCATGGCAGCTTTTACAGAACAGCAGGATGGGTCAAGCAGATTTGTTTCCTTGGTGCCACAGAAGAAGTATTTGCACAGCCTCGCCTGAGAGGCCCAGCTCTGGCAGTTAATGACATGAAGTACTGACTTGGACGTGACTTCTATGCACACCAGACCCCTTTCCTTTGGAATTCCCTTTTTAATGTTGCTTTTCTTTCCTCTGTGCAGTTCAGGATGTGCTTCTCACATGGTTGTTGATGAACTGGAGAGCACCAGTTGAGTTGATGTCATGGACAGGGCAAGTGAGATGTTCAGGTGCTCAGTCTGTGCATGGTGCCTTTTCTTTCTGCATCTGTCAGTCTAGTGTTTTGTCTGTGCCTGGAAGGTAAATCAGCTGGAGCTGCACAGGACAAGTAGTTGTTGGGCGCTGGAAGAGGACTGCTAGCTTGCTTTCATTCTTTGCCTCCAGACTCATTTGTGGACCAGCAGAGATGGTTATTAGTCCTTACTGAGAGTTTGCCTCTGTCAGTGAGGTAAAGGCCCTTGTTTAAGTGAGACATGGGATGGCTGGTCCATAGGCTGCTTCCAATGGCACCTGGCACACAGCTCTCACGTTCTGTAACAGGTAGTTGCTGAACCTGTAGTAGCTTTTGGATCCTTTTATTCCTCCTCTATTATAGCAGGACAGAAAAACCTTCAGAAATTTACTTGTGTTCTCAGAGCTGGCATTGAGTGGTGTCTTGAAAACATTAAAATATGCAGGCAATGAAGGAGAAACTCCCCTGCCTTGCCAGACAGAAGGTGTGCATAGTCACAGTCCCTCACCTCCCGTGTTTTGGTAACTGAGTTGGAGGCTGCCTGGAGCAGTGTACTGAACAGCTGCTGTCTGCTCTGCCTGGGGAGATGGTGTTTTGCCTTTTAGTTTTCCATTTAGTTCTAGCGTTGGATTTGCCTTTGCCTGCCTCTCCTTCACCTGCCAGCAGTGCTTTTCTTGTCTGCTCTTGTCTCCTTCCTCCATCTTACCCATCCCATAATGAAAGCCAGTTGCCTTTGAACCAGGCAGAGCATCTCTCCACTGCACAGCAGTGCTGGTTTGAGATGTCTCATACTGCTGCTCTGGGAGCTTCTCTGAGCCTGGGTGACAGATATTAGTTGGTACAGTTTGGAGCAGGAGACAAATTTTCCCAGCAAACTCTTGCAGTCAGCACCACTCGGGCTCAAAAGCACCTTTGGGATCCATAGTGTTGTCATTTTAAAGGTGAATGCTTCAGAAAAAAAAAAAATGTCCTAGGCTCCATCAGGATGTATGCTATTAAGTCACTTTGATGTATGTATTGCTTCTGCTTCTGGCTTTCCTTATAGTGATGCAGAGTCATCTGTCCCATCCTCTCCTCCTCAGCACACAAGGAAATCTTGGGCACAGTGTGAACATGCAGTCATTTTAACGTAGGTCTTTCTGCTGTTGAGTTCCAGCTGCACACAGGGCATTTTCTTCCAGTGCCTGCCCAGGTCTTTATGCTGGGGAAGTGGCAGTGTGGGGAAGGGATCTAAAGCCCCACTTTGAAACCAGAGATTGCATGATGTCTTGGTAGTGCTGACGTCAGAGAGGGAAAATCTGTCTCTGCCTCAGCACAATTATAATTCTTGCCCACTCAAGCAGGAATTCCCAAAGCCTTTTATTCAGTATAATAAAAGGTACAAGGAGATTTTGCTGCTGCAGTTATCACCTGAGCTAAACAGGATCCCCCTTGGTGAGCATCCTTGGAGCTTAGCATTGCAGAAGAGCTCTGGCAGCTGAGCTGTGGGATCTGCCAGCCTGTGTAGTCACATACCTGTTCTGCAGAAATCTTTTGGGAGAGGAGGGAGAAGGATTTCTCTGCCTGGTGATTTTCATAGGGGTGCTAATGTTGAGGAAAATGAATATGTGGCACAAGGTGGCAGCCACTGCCTTAGTGTAGACACATTTCCTGAACCAGTGTGAGTGTGTCAAGGCTAGCATGAATGCTTAGCATTGAGCTGTAGTGCAACAGTATAGGCTGAAAATTTGGGAGCACCAAACTGTCTCAAGGCACTATCTGTAAGCTGTTTCTGGGGGATCCTGGACTCCTAAATTCATTTCTGTTACAGCTCAGGGTGAGTTGTTGTTTGTGTAAGGCCTTTTTCAGCTGGTGTAAATAAAGGGGACACTTTAACACAGTGCCTGCAGCTCTGTATTTCTTCTTTACCCTTAAGGGCACTTTGCAGTCCACCATGAGAGATACAGGCTGATAGGTGATTGCTTACGGCCATCACTCTGGACACTTATACTGCTTAGCCTATCCCTCTAAAATGTGATGTACTTTTTCATCTTCTGTCTGGCTGTGAGAGGTTTGTAATTGCAAGGGAGGGCTTGTGCCTATGCCCCTGTCTGTGTAGGTGACAGGGCAATGACTAAGTTTATCATGTCCCAAATTAAGATTCCCACCCTGATAGAGTTCACTTCATCTGAGGGCATCAGATACCCTGATGTTTAATTGGGCTCTTAGCTGAACTTAGCTAATGCTCATAAAGTTTTTGTGTCTTGCTGATTTTTTTCATTTCTTGGTGCTGTCTGACAGATGAATGTTCGTTCTCCTTTGTTTTCCAGAATATAGTTATATCTAGTGCAGCTGAAAGGGTAAGTCCCAGATTTTTTGTTTTTAAGTCAGAACGATCTGAAGATTTATTTGTGGCAGAAAATACAGCTTGAATTACACATTAAGCATATAAAAATTGTAAATTTAAATATGGTTGCCATTACCAAATAATTGTATTGTGGGTTTTGGGATTATTTTTCTTTTTTCAGTTGGTTGTTTTGTTTTTTTGTTGTTTTTGGGGTGGTTTTTTTGCTGCTGCTGTGGTATTTTCCATGACAGCTTTCTCCCAGATGGAGACTCTTGTTTGCCAGAATAGTGGTATTTGCTTGATTTCTTACTATCTTCAGTAGCTTGCTATTATGTAGCATTTAATCTTGCCTATCTGATAGCCTTGTCCTGGCTGCTCACACTGTCAGCCTGACAGCAAAGGCATTCACATATCCAAACTTCTTTGTTTTGTTTTAGCCTCTAGAGCTCCGAGGTCCTTATGATGTGGCTAATCTGTATCCTTTCCCAAAGTCAAAGGCAGCAGTTAGTAGTAAGATTGTAAAGTTTAAAGTGGTTTTGAAATTTTTTTCATCCTTTGAAGTCCTTGAACTTTATACAGTGGTACTTGTTGGTGACCTATTCAATAAATTAGGACTCTGAGTATGTGTGGAAGATCAACAGATATTGGTCATGGGGTGGCATGAGAAGTCACTCTAACTAATAGTGTTTGTGTTCAGCTACAGGAATGTTTTGTTGTGATGTGCATTAATGTTGTGTGGGTGTAAATGGAGAAGTTAATAAAACCCATAAAAATCTATGGACACTATGAACCAAGAAATTATTACTTAGTATCTCCAAAGTGCCACATTTCTGGTAGAAGAAGCTATAAAATCGTATTTATGTAAAATTGAAAGTTCCTATCTGAGCAGTAAGTATTTTGGTTCTGAATTTTCCCACTTAGTTGTGTGGAATTTTCCCATTTAGTTACACATGTAATGTTAAACAAGTGGTTGTGTCCTAGAAACAAAGGAGAGTCTCTTTTCTTCCCTTCTTTTAGGAGTTCAGATGCATTTTTATTACTCTCTCCACCCCAGAAGCACATATCTGGCCTGTCCCTGGAAGGAAAAGAGCATGCTCTGTGTCATGAGAAACATGTGGGAGGCTGTGTGGCCTGGAAGGATTTTATGTGCAACGTTTTCTTCCCTCTTAAAATGAGTGGTCAGGCTCAACCCAAATTAACATAACTAATGTGGTGTCATCCCTGCTAAAAGTGACTGGAAACTTCAGCAAAATGCTTTTGTATCAGACAGTGCCCTGTCCCCAAAACTGAAATTTCCCATGGGGTAATTTTTTCGCTTGATTATGCATATCTAAAATGTTCCCACATTGACAGACTTCTGTTTTCAAAAGTACAGCTTCTTGTCTGGAAAGAAGCAACGTTGCTGCTGGGGAACTGCAGTCAGGAGAGTTGGGTGCCTCATTTCTCTGCTTCTGGATAACCTTATGCAAAATGTCACTTTGAGTTACAGCTTCGCTAATTCCCAGTTATTTGTAGAGTAAGCAAGTCTATCCTGCAGAGAGCCTTCCCTGTTCTGTTTGTTGCTTTCTGTGTGTTTTGATCCTGAGCAGCAGTGACAGAGGTTTGCTGTTTGGCCTCCCAGAAGGCGAAGCAAAGGCAGCTGTGTCCACCAACTGCAGGGCCACCATGCTGCATGGAGGTGAGCATTTGTAAGCTCCTCTAAGTAACATGTACATTTGTTAAACTAAGTTCTTGTTGATGCATATTCTACAAAAGGTCTGACCCCTTACAGAGAAAGTCAGATCAGGGTTTTAGTTTCTTTGTCCGATGAATGAAGAGGAGTTTGTGTGGCAAGGCTGTTTTATGGCCTTGTTGCCATATTGGCAGATCAGTGGCTGAACTGATGGTGCTTTCTGTGCCGGAGAACTCACTCAACCAGATTAATGAGTCATAAATGGTTGAATCAAAATAGAGATCTGCCTGCTGTGCTTCCTAGTGAAACTTTCCCATTTCAGAAAGGTTGGAATGCTGATCTTGGTGACACTGACAGAAACTAAGTGATTGAATTCCAAAAAATGGGTATGCATGTGTTTTGCATTTGCCTTTTTGCAGCATGGGTGCAGAAGCAACCTTAGTCATGTCCCTTTCTGATGCTGTAATATGTGGATTAATTCTGACTCACTCTTCAGTGTGGATCATTTCAAACTCATGGAAAAATCAACAGGTTCTCCTCCAGCCTCCTACTCATCTACATAGTAATATAGAGTTTGTCAAATTTATATGAGATTTCTCAAGCCTGTCATTTGTCTTATCTGTGGAATTAAATAGCAAGTGTCATCTCCCTTGTCCCAGAGAGGATACTAGCCCAGAATAAGTAAGTATGTTTCATCAAGGTTCTTGCAGAGCCTCTCTGCTAATAGAGTATGGGAATCTCTTCTAACTAAATTTTGCAGTAACTTTCCACCAGTAATTACAAAATTGGATTTGGTTTAATAGGTTACTTGACAAATGTGAGGATTTGGTAACATCACACACCAGAATTTCACGATAATGTTGAGACTTTGGTAAATAAAATTCTTGAATACCATAAAGTCACTTCCTTGGTATGTAGGGGATCCTCTGCCAGTACAGTTGTGTCCACATAGTCTAAGCATCCTGGGATATGTGAATGCATTTTTTAGTATTTATTTAAGAACAGTATGTTTGGCTCGGAAATGCTTTTGACAGTGCTTCAAGAATGTGTCCTGTGATTGTTGAACTGACTAAATATGGTTTCCTATGGTTTTGTGTCTCTGCAGCTCCTCAGGCCCTGCAGACCTTGGTGTTCCTTGGTTTGCTATAATTCTACACCCACCATTGTATTTCCCCATGTAGTTTCTCCACTCTATAATGCAGTGAATCCTGAGCTCTTGCCCTTGCAGGTTGCTTCCCTGCTGTGTGTGCAGGCTAGCTGGCTGCTCAACATGTCCAGCAGTGGTTTGGGGCACAGACACCTGAACTGAATATGTCTTAAATGCATTTTACTTATTTGAGGTACTGGTACTGCAGCTTCTGCTTGTGTATTCCAGAAACTCGAAAGAGTGCCTGTGGCGTGGTCTACACAGTGAAGAAGCCTCGCAAGGTTGAGGAGGAAGAAACAGCAGTGCCAGCATGCAAAAAAGCTAAGACTCAAGCTTGAGGACTGAACCAGTTGTCAACAGAAGCCTCTGTCTCTTCTTTACCCAGTGTTGAGTCTTCCTCCAACCTCCAGCTGATCTAATTTTTCCCTTACTACCTTGCTTAGCCTGCAGAAGAACTATTCTTCCAGCATTCAAGTGAGGAAAACTGTGACTGAGACTGCTGAACCATATTCACCACATCTGAAAGGTCACGCTGGGCTTCTGGCCAAGGTCAGGAAACTGACTTTTCACCCTGCCTTATGTCTCCTGGAGTTAATGCAAACTCAACATGGAAATTTTCACTTGTACTCTTGCATTCCTTTTTTATTAAAACCATGTCTAAGAACACATGCCTTCATAGTTTAGCTCTTCTGATTTCTCAAGTTTTAAACGCATCTCTGTACAACTGCAAGCCAGTAGATGAAGTTTACCTTCAAGTGGCCTATGAAGAAGAATAATAATACAGTAAAAAAAATAAATTGCTTCCTATTCAGTTTTATGATCATGAAGATCCCAGGATTTGTCAGTTACTCAGAGGTATCTTGGATTCGGGTTACAGCAGGAGTTACTGACCTGACTTGTCAGATACCTATCCCAAAGGCCATCTGTGTCCTCAGCTCTTAAATCCAAACAGATGTTAGATCCATTAGATGTTTGCCAGAGATGGGAAGGAAGAGCCTGAGGTTACACTGAGTGTGTGCTCAGCAGGGGATGTTGCAGTGTAGGAGCTGTCTCACCTAGGCCTGAGCAGCCTCCACCTCACATCATCTTTACTGCACCATTTCCTTCTTTACTTCCTGCTCTGGAATTACCTATGCACATGTTCATTTTGCTGCCTCTTGCTTTTCTGTTTTCCTTCATTTTAATTCCTCAGTAAACCAAATCTGGCTGCCAAAAAACCAATCAAACAGATATAATCAGCAGAGCATTTTTGGAGCTCTTCCTAATGTTGACTGAAGTTTTTCTTTTCATTAAATGAATATAAAACTCACATAAGCTACTGTAGTAAGATACTGTTGAGCCATTTTTACTGTGAGTATTCCGGTTCTCTGCCAGTGCCCAACAGCAAGTTGAAAAGTGGAAGTGGTAACATGTAAAATATACTGCAGAAATCCTGCAGTGGGTCATTTTTGAGCTCTTGGTGACTGGACTGAACAGTATAGATTAAGTTCTCGTAGATTTAACAGTTCTATATAACGCTGGTGTAAGTCACAACAGGTTTTGCTTCATTCAGCAATTACAAAATATATTTCCTGTATGTTATTAGTTGTTAAATTTGTGACTTGAGTCCATTTTATTACATGTATTGGGGAGTTTTTTATATATATGTTTTTTATATGTGTGTGTGTGTAAATATATATATATGCATTAAGTATTTATGGTATTACCTCTAAAATGATGCTCTAACCAGAGAAGAAGCAAACTGTGTTTGGTGCAGTTTTCTGAATGACATTAATCCTGCCTTGGACAGAGAATAACCTACCTTGAACATGACAGAAGATCTTTGGTAACTGACATATGGAAGGAGGCTTTGAATGCTTGAGATCCTTTTTGCTGCTTGTTTGACTTTAAAAAATTAAACTCTTCATCTTTGTCCTTTATTAGACACAGTGCTTTAGGAGCTGATTGAAAAGTTTCTTCTCCCCCAGTTTCCTGAAGCACATTGCTGTGGCCACCTGGGTGCCTGAATGCTGCTGCTCAGGTGATAAACAGACTGAGTGAGCCAGCACTGATCATTTCTGTTTCCTGCAAGGCTTGCTCCCAGTGTCCAGGTAATTGGGCAGAAACAAGCAGGGAAGCTGTGGCTTGCAGCAAAGGGCAGCAATTGAAGGTGTGCTGTAATTTCTAGAGAAGGATGTATGCACAAATTTGGCCTATGGTAATTAGGAATTTAACTGAATGCAGCACCTAAATACCCCTCTACTCTGCTCTCTCCCACCTGGAGTGCTGTGTCTGGGCAGCACAGGAAGAACATGGAGCTGTTGGAGTGTGTCCAGAGGGTCACAAAGCTGGGAAGAGGGATGGAGCATTTCTGTGTGGAACTGCTAAGAGAGCTGGGGTTGTTCAGCCTGGACAATGGAAGGCTCCAGCGCCACCTTATTGGGGCCTTTCAGTATTTAAAGGGGACTTATAAGAAAGATTTCTCCACAATTTTCATCACAGCTTGTGATGGGTTTAATCTAAAAGAAGGTGGATTTAGTTTGGATGGAAGAAAGAAGTCTTTTACAATGAGGGTGGTGAAGCACTAGAACAGGTTGTCCAGAGAGGTGGTAGATATCCTATCCCTGGAAACGTTCAAGGCCAGGGGGGACAGGGTTCTGAGCAACCTGATCTTGTTGAAAATTCTCTGCTCGTTGCAGAGGGGTTGGAATAGATGAGCTTTAAAGGTCCTTTCCAGCCCAGATTGTTCTATGATTCTATGAAATGGGACATCAGGCCCTGGCTGACAGCGCTGAAGGTTGTCTTGCTTCTGCTAAGGCAAGGAAGAAGTGTCTGCCTTTCCTAACAGTACTTGACATCTCTCTTGGCTTGGATAACTGGAACTGTCTCGTGTTTCACATAGTGACTAAGAAATTATATTTTTTAAATCAAACTCAGTAATGGAACTGTAACTTTCTTTTACTAGCTATTCAAAGTATGGTGTTTCTGCTTTCACATGTGTCTCCATTTAACTAAGTCAGTCAGATGGGGTTTATCTAACAGTGGCAGGGAGGTTGCTCAAGGGATGGCTGCTCTTGGCAGCTGAGACTTTTTTTAATTTTTAAGAATTTTACAGCAGACACGCTGTGAACTTTCTTTAAAGAGAAACAGAATTACCCCATGCATGCTCACCACTCCAGCAAGTAAAAAGAACCACTCTATTAATTTAATCTGAAATGGATCCGTTCAAAATTTACAGAAAAAGCAGTACAAATTTACAAATATACATAATCTGATTTTGCATTCTTCTATCATCATACTTTGTAGTAGTCAAATTTTAAAAAAATTCACTTCCCTGATACAGTCTCCTCTCACCTTCACAACATTGTATCTGAATCCTTCAGTCCAGAGGTGTACATGGTGGCTGCAGCTCTGTCCTCGAGCTCGTTAGCAACCACCATTGCCAAACCCTGAGTAAACACCATTACTGAACTACTTCATTAAATCCACTTGGCACCTCAGTATACCTTCTTCCATTGCTCTTCCACATACCGCCACTCAATTCACAGGTTATTTTAGTAGTGAGACAAGGCAACAGTTGCAAGTATTTGCTATTTAGAGCTATTGGAAGGCTTGAGGAAAGTTGCTAATCTAGTTGAAAATGCTGCCATTTAAGACAAAAGGATTTGTGTTGCTGGCAAAAATTGCATTTAGACCATCTATAAAAAAAAAAAAAAGCTTAAATAATGAGCATCATTAAAAATTACTTTTAAATAAATAATAAATAAATAGAAATAAATAAAGCTATTTTAGAGCTAGTGGAATTTTAACACTCAACCTGTGTTTTAAAATAATTTCTTTGCAAGTTTCTTGCAGTTTTCAGTGAAGGCACCTCAAATAATCCAGTGTCATAAATATTTTCAATAGATGTTCAAGGACATTTTCATCCAGGTTTGTGGAAACCATTTCAAAGCAGCAAGAAGAGCATGGTCTGGTTTCTCTCTTCAGAATTTACCTAGACGGGCACTCTTTTTGGAATTGTCTTTCAGGCTGTTGAATATCTCTTTGGTGCCATTCTGCCACTGAAGAACAAGATCCATAGGGGTTTTCCCTTCCTGGTTAAAAGAAACAGGAATATTTAATTTCATCCAGTGATGGCCAAGTCCTTGTTCTTTCCTAAATATTTGTTCAGTGCATCTGCATGATGTGAATCCCTTCTGCATACACAGGCTTAGACTTACTCTTGCACCCCTGAGGTCAGTACTTTTGCTCTACAGATCTAGTCCCAGTCCTGGTCAGACCCATGATGAAAATTCCCTGGGTTTCAGTGGGTTTAGGCAAATGCTGTGACCAGCAGAACCTGTGGGTGTTCCTTTTGTTCTAGTTTCAAGTGATTAGAAACGTATTCAGGTTCAATCTCAGTAAGACACTCTTCATATAATGTAAAATTCAGATAAGAATTGAATTAGGGTATGAACCACAGGAATTAAGTAGGACCAATTTTTGTGTACAGACAAAGTCTGAGAGAGCAAGTCTCTGGCCTTTGGGTCTGTGCCTTCCATAAGTGTCATACTCCAATGAGGGATCATGCTGGGAGCAGCCACATTTCAGGGAGGTGGGCAGAGAGTGCTCCAGTGACTGTTTTCTTCCTTGTCCCCTGGGTTTTGACCAATTGTCAGTCAAAACTGGCAATGGTAAAACCCGTGCTACTGCTGCTAGGTTTGGATTTGGGAGAAAAGTCAAGTGTTCTATTTAACAAATGGTTACAGAGCTGGAGCAAAGCTGCCGCTGCAGTGGCTCTGAGTGCAGCCAGGCTGGGACTTCTCTGTCTGTGCTCAGCCACGGGGGTTTGTTGCCCAGCAGTAAGGTTAATGGCCAGTCCTCCTGGTGTAGTGCTGGGGCTGGCCCTCAGCTGTGGCTTTAACTAAGAGATTTCTCTTACGAGCTAAAAGCTTTGTTGTCTCTGTGGTGGTTGAAGCCTGGGGGTTGTGCAGTAAGTGTCTGTCTATTACATCTTTTCATTATATGAGTAATTAAAATAAATCGCAGAAAAGTGTGATGTTGTCTACGTGCAGATAATGGGTTCTGGTTTTAGAAGAGGTACTGAGTTTTCCTCTCTTCCCTGATCTCCCCCAAGTTACCCTTTCCCTGTCTCAGCTCTGCTTTAATTAGCTCTGAAGTGATCTAATTAAGTCTGTTCAAAATAGTCTCTCCCGGTCTTATCTTGAAAGCCGTGGAACGGCTCTGGTGGGAAACCTATTTTAAAGCATTTTAAAATCACTTACGCAGTTCTTCAGAGTCAGATCTGCTCCGTGCAGAATCAGAAGCCTGATGATTTTGTAGCGGTTCAGCCTTACGGCGTCGTGCATTGGCGTGTCTCCTTCCTAGAGGTGCAGAGCACATTGTGGGCACTGCCGGGGGGCACTGCCGGGGGGCACTGCCGGAGGGCACTGCCGGGGGCTGTGCGGGGTGCTTACCCTGTCCCTGGCGTTGAGATCTGCCTCGCAGGCAATGAGGTGCTCCCCGCAGTCGTAGCGACCCGTCCGCACTGCCACGTGCAAGGGCGTGCTGAGCAGCTGAGGGTCAGGGAGGAGACGGTCAGTGACACGGAACAGGTCAAAGCTGCTTCGAAAACAGCTGCTAGAAACTACTGGGAGTAAGGGACAGCTTTTCGTCTTCAATTAAAAAAGCTGCAGACTTCCTGAAGCACGTACCTTGTCTCTTGCATTTATGTTTATCCCTTTGTCCAGTAAGAATTTCAGAACATCCAGATTCCCACCCCGGCATGCCCAGTGCAGAGCTGTAGAATGAAGCTTTAATAGGAAAAATAAATTAAAAACATATTAATACAACATTGTATTAAAATGTTATATTTAAAACATTATATTTAAAAACCTATTTTAATCAAATTAATTAATTTAATCAAGTTAAAATAATTGTATGCAATTTAACTTAGAGCATGTCACTGCGATCACACAGTGATCACAGTTTCTAGTAAAAAAAATTGTTTCTGGTAAAACAAAAATCGTTTCTAGCAACAGATTTTCTTATTTTGCCTTAATTTCTTCAGTACTGTGAATTTCTCACTCTTCACATTCATTGCGTATTACTCCTAAAGACAGACCTTGGCAACGCTGCTGTGAGAGAGGATGTGTTTTGTCTATTCTTTGAGCTTAGAAGTTACCTCTAGCCAGGTATGTGGCTGCTATGTGCTATTTAAATTTTTTATTCGATGCTTTTTGGGTTCTAAAATGCATAGAAAATGAAGTTCAAGGGAAAGAATAGTTCTCTTTAAAAAACAAACAAATCCCCAAGTTATGCAAGTCCACAAAGGGAATTCCTTTTCCTCTACAAGATTTATCATCTCTGCCCCTGAGCTGTGCTGGAAAGAGTCCCTTGCTGGTCCCATGTGCCTGTCATTCCGTGAGCACTGCTGGGTTAAGCGAAGGGAGCAAGGCTGGACCGTGCCAACTGTTCAGCAAAGGGAAAAGGGTGGAGAAGCAAAGAAATGGCTGCAGAAGCTGTTGATACTCAGGAGCCCTTGTGGCCAGAATTCTGGAGGAGCAGGGGGCTCTCCCGAGCACAGCCTTGAAATCCTGGTGTGCGTCATGCTGACCCTGGACACCTGCATGGGACAGCGCTGTCTGAGCACCTGCCAGCAGGCTGAGGTGGGAGCCTGACCTCAGCTCTCTTACCCTGCCCTAGGCTTTCTTGTTTGTGGCACTCTGCTGGCCAGCACTTCCTGTGTTTTCCAACCATCTTGGCACAGGGAGGCAGACGCTCCCTCCTGAAACCTCTTCTCCACAATGTTATTTTAAGGATAATCTTCAAAGACATTGTAAGGCCTTTCAGTACTCCTCCTCTATGAGAAGCACTTCTATAAATGGTTCTCCTGGCACATACAAGGTAATGAGCAGCTTTTGGAGGGAGGTGTGAGTGGATGTGCATACCATGTCTTTCTGTTCAAGCTGGGCCCCAGCTTCCACCAACTTCTTCACCACCTCTAGATGTCCTTCAGAGCACGCCCTGTGCAGCGCCGTGCGTTTGTACTGGCAATTGAAACAGTGCAAAGTTAGACATTGTATACGGCACAAAGGTATCTTCAAATCTCTTCTCCCGCCCTCCCTCGGATGATGGCAAACATACATACATACTCCATGCTGATTCCTTTCAAAGACCTAATACTTTTGTGACCTGAAATCTGCTAAAATTTTAATAGCAACCTGATAGCTTAGAGCTGCCTACCCAGTATTTTAAAGGATGGGAGAAATACCTGCCGTACAGCATCCAGATTTAAAATAATGCCTGTTGTGTTCCCCATCCAACATGCTACACTGTGTTTTGAAAGTGCAATTTATGCATTATGGAGTATGAGGGCAGCCACTTATTTCTGTTGTTCTGCAGAAAAATTTCTTACCCCTTTTTCCATAGCATTGGAAGATCAACTTATATGGAAAATCAGGTTCTCCTCAGCACCAACAGCCCATAGTGGCCACTAGAAAACTTGATGTACAAAACTTCCAGCATTTATTTACTTTCCCCCGCCCCTCTTTTCCTTTCATGAGAGTGGAATCTAAAAACCTCATGGCAAAAGTTATTTTTGCTCTCTTCTGTAGCAGGCTTTGCATTAGGAAGAAGACGGTACCTTATCACAGACATTTGGATCCCCTTTGTCTGACAGGTATTTTTCAATTACTGGCAACTTATTCTCCAGTGCAGCTTTGAAGAATGTGGGAACATCCACAGGTCCTGTCTGAAGGAAAGAATATAGAGAACATAAACGTGTGTGGCACAAACCCCCATTAATGCTTTCCCAGAATAAGGTACTTTGAAGTAACTTACTATAACTTCTGGTTCAGGTTTCTTTAAAACAGGTACTTTCACTTTCTTGCATCTTTTCTTCTTCTTCAGCTCAATAATTTTTTCAAGATCTTCCAAGTTTTCAAGTTTTGACCTGGCCTCTAATTTCTTCTTCTTCAGCTGAAACAAATCAGGGAAGGCAGCAAGTTGAGCTGTGTGACCACCTCTTCCTTTCAGAGTGGCAGGAAGCAATGTGATACTATTCAGCTGAATTCAATTAAGACTGGATGAACTTTGAAATTTATTTTTTTTAGATAGGGCTAGTTGACCATTAGAATAAGTTGCTAACTATGTGAGAAATTCTATCTCATGTATAGCTTTTCATATACCATTAGACTACTCCCTAACTTCTTGAGCCATATGCTGTGACATTAATTTAGGCCAGGAGTCAGAGCAGCTCTGCTGTCTCTTCTGGCACAATTTAAAAAATCTCATGTGCAGTTTATGAGAGCTGGAAAGCTCCTGCAGTTTCAACTAACTCACTGCCACCAAGTGATTTTCTTCAATCACTTTTTTTTTTTTTTTAATGATGCATCCTCTAAATTACTGGAACTTAATTTTCTTTGCTTAAAAACATACCCTCAAGATAAGAATAAGGTTTAGAATGATCCTAGCATTTCAGTCCACAAGTGTTACTACATTTTGGGAAGCCATGAAGAATGTCCTTAGTGTCCTTGATGGGGCAGTTCAATAAATGTTTAAGTCTTCTCCAAACCTGCTTGTAAAAAGCATCTGGGCATGAAGTCGGTGTGAGGCACTGCTGACACCAAGGGCAAGTGTTGCCTGGAGTGAGATCCCACAAGGTGTCCTTGACTTCAGAAGGGAGACTCTCGAGCAAGGGCTAACAGGGCGAATACAGATGACAGATTCTGTCCCATGGTGTGATTAAGAGTGAATACACTGGTGACACCCTGTCAGATGGTATACAG